AACTGCTGTAATCTCTTAAACAAGAAGAACAAGAAGAACGAGAAACTTTTCTTTTTCCTCTAACAACTGTTGTAATTTCTCTTCTCGTTCTTCTTGTTTCTTTTCTTGCTTAATTTCTCGTTCTTCTTGTTTCTTTTCTTGTTTTTGTATTGCTGCCATCAAGTCTGCTAAGCTGTAGTTTGATTTTCCGCCTCTCTTTCCATTTTTCTTCTTTTTGTTTTTTTTCTATCCCACTGCTGACACCAATTTGTTACGTCTCTGTTTGTTAATTAACTTTCCGTAACTTCGTTCCGACGAAACTTTAGCGACACGAGTCCTTACTTAATAAAACTGGTTTATTCTTTCCGAATACAGCTTTACGATACACTTATTTTCAACAGTCGCGCTATAACAAACACTATAACAAACGAACGTTAACTTCAACAATATGTCTCTCTCTGACTGCAGATCAATTACTCACTGTCTACACACACATTACATTACCGTCACATTGTTACCCTCTTTCATATACCAGACTACCCTATATCTAGTAAATGCTAGAGCATTCGCCAAAGTACAGGATAGTTCTAGAAAGTAGAGGGCGTGAGAATAGTCACGTGATCTCGATGACGCAACAGTAGCATGGAGAGTAACCTCAACAAGTATGTCTCCAAGGATCTTTGAATTCAGGAGGAATTCACAGTGTTTTAGTGTAGATGTTTTCACCAAGATGTTCCCAGAATGTAGCTTCTTAACTGACTTTGGAGAACCAGCAAGCCTCTCTGATCCATTCTGAGACATTTGCCCTAAAGGTTTGTCAGACAAAGAATGCAGAATAACAAAATAGGTATTGCAACAGAATTTGGTGGTGACTGCTGTTTAGAGTCTTTCAAACATGGTCACTTTCTTAAAAATGAGTTTTTTTATTGTTTTTTTTTGGGGGTCACTGGGTGCAGGATCCATAAAAATGGAGAAAATTCAGTGCCCACTGACCTCTATGAGGAAATGCACTACAATGCCACAAGTTGACAATGTAGTTATGCCAGGGTTTTATGGGCACTATACCCAATCATATAAAACAAAGTGAAATGTTCTATCTAAAACAAAGGATTCACATACAAAAACACAAGTAAACTCTACATTGATAACCAAACACTAGTGAACTCTACATTGATAAACAAACACTAGTGAACTCTACATTGATAAACAAACACTAGTGAACTCTACATTGATAAACAAACACTAGTGAACTCTACA